TCACCATAGGCCCACTTGGGCGGGGTGCCCCGGTAGCTGGAAGAGAACTCTCTTCGGAAAAGAAAAAAAGGGGTCCGCCATGCCCCCCCCCCCACCGTGGGAATGCCCCCCTTCCCCCTTTCTCCTCCACTTACCTAGACGCTCTTTGATACATCCGCACACCTATTTGTTTTCTCTCGAGTCTCGGGGCAAAAGCTAGCAGGGCGATGTGAGCAGCGCGCTCGGCCTCACCCCCTGCGCGTGGGCATGGACGGGGGGAGCGTGATCACGAGGTGTAAAGGTCGACGTATGACTGGTTCAGCGAGCACGTAGCTTCTACCCAACTGCATGCGTAGTGGTGAACGAAATCGAGTCGAGCGCACGCAATGTTTCGTGCGGCGCGAAGTCTGTTCCCGCGACCGGTCCGGTGCTATACCCTCGCTGATGGTCACTACCCTTGCGTTCTGGAGCATCGGGATGACTCGTGCTCCTGGTATGCGCCCTTCGGCCTTTTGAGGGCGTCGTCTTGATTGATAATAATAATAGTAAAAAAAGAATGTAACCTGGTTGATGTTCACAAAGAAGGAGGCTTCGAAGGTAACCCATTACGACATGACTCAGAGATGCAAACTCGCGTCCTCTCTCTCAAAAAAAAGAAAGGTTAAGAGAAAGTACACGGGTGAAGGTGGAGTCGGGCCTTTGACTGCAACGGCGCTCTCCTTTGCTTTGTCTGACACCAACAAATCGAAAAAAGAATAAGAATAACGTTCTGAATAGACTAGAGGTAGACATGGGAGATAAAACGCACAGACACCAGAAAACAGACATGTTACATTTGTTCTATCTGTCGCTGTCTGCACTCACTTTCTAGGTGGTGGGAAGATTCGATGGGATTCCGATATCGCAGTACTTTGACCTCGATCTGTTAATACGGCGACGTAGTCCATTATTATAGCCGAATTGCACAGACTAAACACTCTTCTTGCTGGCTGTCTTTAAGCTGCAGTCAAACTGCTGACACACCATGCAAAAGACAATTGCAGACACTGTCCGCCTTGTGTGACGGTCCTCTTTTATTGGTCTTAATAGACTGTTTACAGACATGTTCTAAGCATGTATGAGGCAAACATGTTGCGGACACGCTTGGGGCGGGTCCACAGGTCATTCTGGCATTATGTCCGCAGCGAACCCCGTGTTTGTCTTCTCTCTTGCGTTCGTCTTTTTAGCTCTTTTAACAACGGTTCAAACCCCGTGTCTGTTGTGCGCTGTATGAGTAGTACGACTGCGGCTTTTGCGTCACCCACCGGCAACAACACGCGTGCACTCTCAAGAAAAAAAGGGTGTCAAAAGGTGTATTCTTACACCCTTTGTCCCATATAATACAGCCCAGAATTTCAATTCGACGTACAGTGCCCTACAGTCGAACAGAGGGCCCGAAACTTTACGAGGGGCTTGATAGCCATGTAATACAACATTTTTAATAGCTAAAGTACGGATCAAAAACCACATAAAGAGAACACCGAGTTTTTACAGTAGGGCTAAGAAAACCCGGATTATTTTTTTCGTGTTCAGTAAAACGTAAATGAGCTATTTTAATAAGTTGTACCACACGGCTATCAAGCCCCTCGTATAATTTGGGGCCGCCTGCTCGACTGTAGGGCGCTGTATGTCGAATTGGAGTTTGGGGGTAAATTATATGGGACAAAGGGTGTAAGAATACACCTTTTGACACCCTTTTTTCTTGAGAGTGTGTTCGTCGGCAAGAGGTACCGCAGTAAAGCGTGACCATATGTTGACAACAAAATCGCTAACTCTAAGAGGTCTGAAAAAAAAAAGTCTGCTTTTGCGCACTGAACATGATGTTTGATCATGCTTGATGTCGTCGCGCAGACTATTATTTTATGTCTAAACATGTTTTCAGCTCAAGCTCCCTCCGTTGGCTGCAGCGATTGGTTCTCCCAAGTGCATTGCGGGAGAGGAAACGCTCCAGATTTTTAAGAGTGTAGCTTCACGCGCATGCCGCACGTGCTTCAACGTAAACGAGTATAGTACAGACCAGGGCGCCATGTCTTCAATGTGTATTCTTCGCGTGATGGCGGCACCCAGCGGTGGGCGAACTTCCTTTGGAGGAACGTCCTTGTTGATCTCCCTATAGTCGCCACAACTGGGCTTGGAGGGGAACGGACGCAAGTGTCGCCTACTGTTCCAGTTCCTTTTGTCGTTTCTTCCTAACCATGCGTATATGCGAGTTTCTTCCGCCAGGTGAAAAGCGAGTCCGCGCATGCGCGTAGATCTTCCCGGAAAAGGTTAATCGCGTTCGGGGCCAATGAGTGCCGTTATGGCACTCGTTAGGCACGAACGCGAATCCAAATGTTCGTCGACGGATTGATTCTTAAGGAACGTATACGTCAGAGTGGCACGGTGTTCGTCTAACACGTAAGTAGGGCTAGCTCGGCTGAACTACTTGGGCACTGCGGATGCATCGCGGCGAAAAGGCGTAGAGCTTGTCGAAGGAGAAGAGGTGAGAAATAGCTTGTCTTTATCTTCAACATTTTGTTGCCAAGGAAAGCTTTTAGCTTTCTACTCTCGTTCACTATTTTTTTTTTCCACTTACAAACAATATGTTTTTAGTAAAATCTCAATTCAAAATACACTTCACGGTTGCTTTAAAATAATGCTCAAAAATCTAAAAAAAAATAAAACGTATCGGTCATGTCTTACATTGGCAGAGTCATATAGTTTGAGAAAGAAGTCAATAAGACGGGGTGGAGTAACAGGGGACCGGTCGGCCAGGGTGTTCACTTGTAACCAGCAAACGGAACTTCTCTAACTGCATGCTGGCAAGGCACCAAGTGAACCACGACCTTAACAGTTGACTGGCAGACCGGGCGGCATGCTTGTAGCTCATCTCATCGTATTGGTAAAGTGGATGTTATGAGCAAAGACCGATGTACGCCTTCCACAAACCTGTTGCTTCACTGGAAGACAACGCTGCAATTTCCTGGTATTATTTGTCAGGGGCGTCCAAGGGGACGTGGTTTCTGCCCAGAAGGACGCTTTAAAGTAGTGTTGTAAGTTTGCATGTGACGTTCCTGCTTATCTGGAGAAAGTACAAATAATATTGATGACAAAGAATACCTTCGTTGCTTTAAAGGCTCGTGCGTGTTGGTGTCGTGAGAAATTGAATGCGTACTTTGTTCCGTAAATATTCATCGAACACGTAAGACGTCGCAACTACGAATCGATGAGGAGATATCGGGTATATTGCACCGCAAGAAATTGAGAGGGCAGGGACCTTCAACGAGTGTTGCGTGTGTTTGTCTAAACACGATGTCCGGACATGTACACAATCAAAATACGCAACCTCGGGCTCGAAATCCGGATGCTAGAGGTTAAGGTTACGACGACAAACAAGACCAAAGTCACGGACATTCAGGTGCCATCAGTACGTGGGAGATACGCGTAAATGGGTACTATAACAACGAGTGGTGTTTACATAATAATTTAATAAAGCGAGGCTCATTTCGTCAATGCCGCTTGCGGCAGTGGAGACGACAACAAGGCAAAGTGCTCTTGTAGATGAACATGTGCCATAGTTTCCCGGAGGTACGCCATGAGCTGCCGTGTTCGCCGAAGCAGAGGTCGCCTCGCATCGATCTTGATGCGACGGTGGCCTATAGTCGAGGTCGCCTAGCCCGACACGCGCGTCGCGTGTAGCGGCACTCGCCACACATCGACTACCAGGGCGCGAACTTGGCCTACTGGGCGCAGAGCTGAGCACAACGTCCTGGCATCTCTGGCGTTCAACTTGGTGGGTCTCCGAACACAAGCATCACCCATGTCAAAACAATGTGCGGAGGGAACCTACGAGTGTCACGGCTATCTACTTGGCCGGTTCCTTGCTCTACAGGTCACAAGGGCCCGGGTGTCCAGTAACCTAGTGGGTATGGGGAGCCACGTGCCTCCAGGTCCAGGTTGCTTCCATGTGGAGAAGAACCGTCTCGAAGTCGCCTGGCTGGAGGCGCCCCGAAGGCCGCCCTGAAAGAGGAAAAAAAAAAAAAAAGAAGTGCCGCTTGTCTTTTTTTTTTTTTTTCCCCTCACTTCCTGCGGTAGTCGATGAGGCGGCGGACAATTATTCCGGGGGTTTCCTATACTACTCGTCCTTTGAAAAGAAAACTTTGCAGAGCAAAGTCCTCCTCTGGTATACACGTGTCTACGGGGAACCGTCGTGGGGTGTAGGGAAACGTCACCCACAATCAACCGACCGGGTCAGGGCCAAGGTTAGGGCTCCGCCACAAACCTTAACCGACTGGCGAATCCCTGTGGCTCGAGGTCAGCGCTCTTCTCTGGCCCAGACCTCCAGACGGACCCGTAGACGGGAGAGGAGAGAGAGAAAGAGAGAGAGGGGTTCACAAAGTAAACACAAACGGGACCGGCACCGTACCGCTTGCGGCGGCTGTCGCGTGTCAGCCGAGACTCGCTGCTGGCGTCCCGACCCGGGATTCCAGACTGCGGTCGGCTGGCGTGGCGGCGGTCGCCGACAAAGCGCCCCCTGAAACAGCAGAAGCTGTTGTTGTTGACTCTGGTTCGAGGAAAGAAAAGGGGCGCGCGTTCTCGTCCAAGGCACTGGCGGCGCGCCAGCCCGCCCAGACCGGCTCTCCCTCCGAGAATCGCCTCTCGCGGCAAAACGTCCCGGGGCCGTCGGCCGCCGGCAGCCCTGACGTCAGCCCCCGCCGGAGGGGGACACGCGGCGGGCCCCGGACCCCCGGCCCGGAAGGAAGACGCGGCCCGCAGGCTGCGCCCCCCGCTCGATCCCAGGAAGCGGGGCTGGGGAGGGGGCTGGGGGGGCGGCTCGCACCTGCCGGTTGTTGTCCCGCGCGCATTCCCGGGCCGGGTTCAAGGCTCGCGGGGAGAGGGGGGGCACGGGAGCGAGAGGGCGGCCAATCGGGACCCGGGCCTCTCCCCCGAGGGGGCCCCGTGACTCAGCTGAGGGGAGAGGGCCCCCTCTTAAGGGGCCTCCGCCGCGTGCGCCGCCGCAAAACAAAGACATGCGCCGTCCCGCGTCGCCGGCCAGCGTCGCCGTCACCATGCTGCTGCTGTTGCCCCACCTGCTGCTGCTACTGTCGCTGGCCGCGCGGACCGCCGACGGGAACCCCGCCGACATGGCCATGGTGAGTGAGTGCGCGCACGGCCTTGGCTGCTCAGGGAAAACGGAAAAACGCCGGGGTCCGAAGGACACCGCGGGCCGCGCAGTGGGTCTCGGTCGCCGCCGGCCAGACGACTCCGGACTCTCAAAGGCCGCCGGCGCAATTTACAACTTTTTTTTTAAACTTTTTGTGTGTTGTCTCACGACTGGGTCATTGTCAAATCAATGGAGAAAGAGTCAGGTTGGGCTTTTCCCTCCCCACTATCGCTTTAAAGGATGAGTGGCGCGTACGCGCATTAGCCTACCATTGGGAAAGTTTCGATCGCGAGAGGTTGTTCCGAGTAACGGCCGCCCAGAGCCAACCATAAGTACGCGGAACCGTGGTTTCACCGAAAAGCGGTTCCTCGGAAGCTCCTCCCGTGTGTTTTCCGACTTGGGATGAAATTTGCGTGCGACGCGAGTGACCGCTCCCATGGATACACCGGGCCTGCCCGCCCCATATGAAGCAACAACAGTTTGATAGTTTCTTGCGAACTTTTTTCTTCGTCCAAATGTCAGACCCGCTGTGTTTACACGGCAGACGGGTGGTAATGCCGTGCATGTCAATGGGCCAACTCTTGCCCTCTTGCGGCGCGCGTGGGGGCAGTTCGTGGGCGCGCGATTGAGTCATTGAGTCGCCGAGGGGCCGAAGTGATGATCGGAAGCCGGTACCGGCTGATACGCTGACTCAACCTGCGTGAATCGACCACTGTGAGACACCTCAACGTACTCGACATGCTTCCAATGTGCGGCTGCTTGAACGTAAAAAAAAATACACACAAAGACAGAGATAATATTACGTGATTTCTTTCGATATATGGACAGCGAACTTGACATTTTTCCAGTATGTGTCTGATGGAACGTGTAAGACTAAGATAATGCTACGACTTCTTTTTTTTTTTTTTTCAATATGCGGCCGGCGGAGTTTGACATCATACCATTATGCGACAAACAGACGGGAATTTTTTTTTATTATTTATTTTTAGCCACAAAACTTTACTTTTTTTTTCTTTTTCAATATGCGATCAGCGAATGGGACACTATTCTCATATGCGGCCAGCGGACTAGCCCATTTTTCAGTATACGGCCAGCGGACATGACATTATTTGAATATGCAGAATCTGGAACTTATAAACCAAATATCTTAGAGTATCACGTCCTTCCCTTTCTAGAAGACATGAAACTGACCCTTTCGAAGCTGCAATTCAAAACACGTAATTTGTCTATCTTAACACGCGTCGGGGTTGAGGTCTATAAATGAACGATTTAATTTGGTTCTTGTATTGGCGCATTATATAATACAATCACCCCCCTTTTTTTTTTCCTTATTTTTTTTTCTTTCATGTTCCGTCCTCCAACGATCTTGCCGTACTGTTGGCACCGAATTATCGGTCGCTTTATTCAGTCTTTTGCTTCTTGTAGGCGTATCCTTCCTCAGGGTGCCAACAAACCTGGAATAACTGCACGTCGGCTGCCATGATGACTTATTAACCATCGACGTTTCTACGTTTATTCTCTGTCCTATAGGCTCCTCGCCAGCATGGCGGCTTCCTTCCTGTCCGCTTTTTCTTTTTTTCTACTTTTCTTTTGAGTCATTTACTACGCACGCGATTCTTCGTTTCCCTTTTCGAATTCACTCTTCCGTGTCCCTCAGACGACTACCTTGCTTAGATTTTTTTTTTCTTTTCTTCTTTTTTTTTTTTTTTCTTTTTGTGCATTATTGAATTTTCAAGTGAAGGTCGTCGACAGGAATGAATATTGCTGCTGAATGAAGACGTTTCGAGGTGTGTTGACAAAGTACGAGTGTTGATTCGCGCCTTAATATTTAACACTGATGGGATGTGTCGGTGTGAACAACACGTGAATGTGCTTTTATGGTATACAGAATACTTGAGAAAAAAAAAACTAATTGCGTTGGAGGTTGTTCACTTTTTGGCCCGCGTGCATATAGAAAGTACGACGCATCGCTCTGAGGCCAGAACTCGCCTGAATGTAATGCTAGCGTGTGGTCACAATGTTCCAATGGTTTATAACTTAATCAAAATAAAACAAAAAGGTTCGAAAAATTTTTTTAAAATAAAATAACACTTTCCGGTGGAACCCACCGGACTATATGACGGCAAAAGGCACCACATGCCAATAATTGACAACATTTTGCCGTTAAATTGTTTTCACAAATATTGTGTCCCAGTTTCATAAGATAAAAGGGCGTTCTGAAGCTTTGATATCTACTTCCAAACTTTCATAGCGTCACATTCAGAACATGTCGAAACACTCTCCCGTTTCTTACTAATTCTATTATTATGCAGTGCAAAAACAAAGAGGCTGGCTTTTTTTTTTAATTAATTTTACTTTACATTAATCGAAATATTTGTTTAGTTAACTACTGATGAAGGCAGAATACTAGTTTACCACAGTCCAGCAATCAGTCACCCGTGATCAAGGGGCCGAGCTGGCCCCGAAACGTCGAGATCTTCGTTTTAATAAAACGTGGTTAGAGTTCCTTTTATCAGTTTAATTTTTACCTAACCAGGCGGAAGCCCACCAAAATGTACTTTTTTTCGTTTTTTGTTCAACACGTAAAACCTACCAACGTTAAACACGTTGGTAGGTTTTACTTACGTAAAACATACCACGACCCCAATGAGGGAAGAATTATTTAATGAGCATCTTGAACACTCCCGCCGGTCTATGAGACCGCCGAAATTTTCGATAAGCCGTTCAGCCGTAGCCATACTAGCACACGAAGCAAACATGCTTGAAACATTCTTCAAATGTGTCTGCAGAAAAAAAAAGAAGCTGACATCATGTTTAATGTGGAAACCGTGGCTGACTTATGGGAGCATGACTGCGGATTTGAACTCCGTCAACGAGGCGCCGGCTGGGTTGTGTAACCCTCTCACTTGGAACCAACTATACCGTCAGTCACGTGGTCTCGAGAACACTGATCTTGTCCTTTTCTTTTAGAACCAAGGGTTTGCGCGCAATAACCAGTTAATAATACTAATATCGGTGATTCCGTAACTTTTTTTTGTTTTATTTGTGTGTGTTTTATTGCATTCTTCTTTTGTGGCTAATGGGTTTTCCTCGTCAACAAACATTGCCTAGGCTTCCCAGGGGTCTTTTCAGTTTTCTCAGCACCACAAACCTAATTTCAAAACTTCGAAAAAAAAAAAAACTTTTGTCACATTTGATTTAAAGTGAAAATCGGATCCATGCACCCTGATACCGCATTCACCGCCGACCTTTCATTTTTCGGACAAAGTTAGGAAACAGGCGAGCCGCTTTCATTCGCAACATATTTGAAACCGGAGACGGCAGATGAAGAAAGAAGGAGCAAAAACCAAAACACACGGATAACAGGTCTCCATTTGAGACATGTTCTATGTTGCCTTCTTCTGCCGTTCGCTGTCTCAAGTTTCAGATATGCACAGCTTTCGTTTTGTTTTCATCTCTCTGGCTTTTTTTTAAGTTCCTGTTCCCTTTTTTTATTAGCAAGGAGGTGCCAGAAATATGAAGTAGCCTGCTGGGTCAGTACCGACTAACCTATCACTTTTTTATTCATTTCAAATCTCTTTCTTTATTTCTTATTCTACAGCGCATAAAAAAACGACATACCAGCTCAATTTACAGCGTTGAAAGGATGAGACTGTGATACTCGATTGCAAGCGATATTTGCATACCCCTACAGTTTATATCTGTGAAACATTCTTCCACCTGCCCTATTAGTATTCATAATGGGTGGGCGAATAGTGGTTTGAATTGAATAGCGCCGCGGTCATTCATAGCCTTCACAGTGCTGGGCAAAAGTCACGACAACTGATTCTCTTAACAGCGTTGAAGATATAAAAAAATGCCATTCCTCTATTCGATTTGAACCCCTATTCGCACATCCCTAACAATGATACCACGCAGTGCCTAACCGTTAGTCTTGTGCAGGTTACTCGAGAAAATAATCAATCACAATTACAATTACTGTTCCTAAAAAGGTATTCCATTAGATTACCTGATTACTAGAGAGGAAAGTAATTGTCCATTACTTAAAAAAGTAACCGATACTTTTTCGAACACTTCAGATTTTCAAAACGACACATTTTTCTGCCGGTTTGAAAAAGGCTATTTTGTGCTGTCCATTATCGAATTAGAATCACCAAATTATAAACCACCCATCTTCCGAATCCAGCAATCTTGTTAAGCCATCCTTGTGTCGACGACTTGGTTCAAAACAAATGTAGAAAGTAAGAGTGCCATTAAAAAGGGGAGAACAAATTGTAGCGGTTCCAAGTAATTTTATTACTTCCAAATGTTCTCGGATTACTCTCACGATTACTACCCAATAAACGTAATCAAATTACTACATAATTACACCAAACACTTAATCGATCACCGGTATTTTGATTACTTGTAATGACGACTACCGTACAAGTCTGCTTTCTGTCCTCAGAAAACATCCTTCACATGCAGTAATTGCCATTTGCTGCCGAGTGTGTGCCACTCAATTTGCGGCGTTCTCAGCACAAAACGTTGCTATCTGTATCTGTGAAGCGAAACTTATTTGCTCGGATAGCCACTCGGAGACCACACACACAAACTCGCTTCCCTTTGCCACCTTCTTCGCGCATCCATATCGACCTTATAATCATTGTACAGGACGCGTTGTGGGGTTTCCACTTTCCGGTGACCTCATGCCCGCCGCACTCGTTACGTGGTTGGCTCTTTGGCTTCTTTATTTAAGGGTCTTCGACGAAAGTGTTTACCGAAGGAACGTTCTCTTTTTTTCGTTTGCGGACACCGCCGCCGTTAGTCACAACGCACGTACTTACATACGTATCTGGCGATCGGAAGCTTGCGCGATGTTAGGAGAGATAAGCGAGCTCCTGAAGGCTAAACGAGGCAGGCGAAAGACGGCGCGCGCAAGCAAGTTGTTGCGACGAGAGGAGAGGCTTGCTCAGCTGCATTGGCCGTTGATATTGAAACTTTTTGCGT